AGAAAGATGCATACAATCTATATCTTTCTATATAATGATTAATAATATTACCTCACGTATCTGATAAGCAGTCAGTGAAATTCAAAGGAGTACTTAAGGTCCTTTGAAAAATATATGAAGTTTTCAATTATAAGGTGTACATTAGACTCGCCTATTCAAGATCTATAATTCTGCATAAATCGAAATTTTTTATTTTATTTTGTTCAAAAGCTATACGTCCAATATTGATCGTCATAAATGCTCGAAAAAACTTTGCGTGAATATTTTTCTAATCGATCAATGAACAGTGAGTTCGAAAAATCTGTCAATAAGCTTTGATAGAGTTCCTGTGATAATGAATTTTAGAAATTGCTACTTTTTATGTTGCATTTAAATTTGATCAGTTGTTTGATAAAAATATTTCTTTGTCGATTCAAAAATGACTTAGAAACATTTTCAATTATCGTAGAAATTAGACTGTACAAGACAAGAGCGAATTACAACGGTTATTTAGAGTGATTATTCGTATTCGATTCGAAACTCGTTTTTCTCAATTCTCTCGATTCGTAGTTCGCACTGCATTTAATATTCGAGTCGGAACTCGAATATCATCTAGTCTCGAAGTGAATAAATCTTCAAATCATGTTAAATTCATCATTTTCGGGAGCTATTCTCTCGAGAATAGAATATTGTATGAAGATTCTGGTAAAAAAAAGGTAGTTGTTTGATCGCGATGCTCCAATTTCACGTTTCAACAAGTATTTTCTGAGTTTCCATTGTTAAGAATATTAGGTCACAAAGTGACAATTTTTTATGCGTACGTTAAGTAAGAACGAGAAAAGAAAGTAAACTCACGAAGGACTACATAGATGCTGTGTTTCGCACCGCATTAATTATGTGCAAACTTCAAGCTGAACAATTTACTGTTAGTTTACAAGTCGATCATAATCATCTATAAAAAGACTGGTGTTCAGTTATGTAAATGTCTAATTATATAATAAAAACAAAGCTTAATTTAAAAAAAAAGGACACTGTAGTGGACTGCAGCTTGACATGCTCTTTCAAACAAACAAAAAAATATTAAATATATTGTGCGAGTGCCGAAAAACAAATTTGGGATGTGCGTTCGACCAAATATGCATTTCCATATAAAACAGAAAATGATTTTTGTTTTTCCCAGTTTACACCTTTTCGATTGGGCACCCCAAACTTGTTTTTCGGTACTCGCACAATACATTTAATATTTTTTTGTTTGTTTGAAAGAGCATATCAAGCTGCAGTGTACTACAGAGTCATTCTTTTTAAAATTAAGCTTTGTTTTTATTATATAATTAGACACTTATATAACTGAACACAAGTTTTTTGAGGTTTTATAAGACCTTCATTTTTTAATCTCTTTTTTTTTCACTTAAAAAGTAAGAATTAAAAGAAAAGGACTCTTCGATGCACTGGATCCTGGCATACTCTTTCTAAAAAAAAATTTAATATACAGCATGAGTCTGGACCGAGAAGCTGGGGTTGCCAAATAGCCTATTTTTGACTTTTGTTTGGTGAATATCTCTCTCAAATGTCAGGATATTGGGCTGAAAATTTTACCATAGACTCTCCATTACAACTCCAACATATCCTGAAAGTTTCATGCAATTTGAACGTACTCGGGATGAAACCAGTTTTTGAGGGAGATGTCAGAAGACATCGTTCTTGTTGCTCTCATCAAACTACGATGCTATTAGATTTTTCAAAACTTTTTTTAATGAATAATATTGTCTACCTAAGAACTACATATTCTGAAATTTTAAGCTTAATTGACTCATTTTTCATATATAATATTAGGTATTCAATGGAATATCCTGCAGTGTCGCAGAACTTTTGATCAAGGGGCTAATATTGAAACTTATATAACTTGCTACAGAAACATTCAATTCTAATGCTATAATAGTATATGAAAGGTCGCTATTAGATCTATCAAAACACGTCGCCACTTGCTTATAATAGCTTCATAACATAATATTATAAAAGCGAAAAGTTTGTTCCAGAACTTTTGGCGTGCATTTTAGTCTCTTTCAAATCTATCGTTCACTTTTGTACTAATTATCGAACGCGTCACTAAGGTGAAAATTGACGTTGTTCTCTCGTACGTATTGTTTCAAGTCTGTTCATGCAAGTGTCAATGGGTTGAATAAGCAGTGTTTGATAGACAAGCTATAAAAACTCGTTTCGAGAATAAAATCAGACACTAGCATTAAAGACATATTGCAAAATATCGACCTTGCATTGCTTTGCTGCTTTATCAACTGCATATCATTTTCCGGGTGGGTGTTGCAAACCAATCTCGAGTAATTGAGCTTTAACAGCTGTTTTCTGGAACAATTATATTATGATCATTGAGCCATTGTGTAATAGATTCTTTATCCTATAATCTTTTTGGTGGTATTGTGTTATCTGTGAATCAATTATGCCATGTAGCATTATCAATCATCAGGACAATATTTTGCTAAATTTGAACATAACATTAGAAATGACAAGTGACAAATATTACCATATTGTTTTCGAAAAAGGAAAGCAGTACATGTACATATCCGACTCTTTCTAGATTTTTGCTTGCTGCGTAACATATTTATTTATATCAAAAAGAAATATAAGATTAAACAGCATCCAACAGTCAAAAATTCTCTCTCTCATAGAAGAAACATCACATTGACAGTTGTCATATGCTCTAATGAAACGCTCCGAATTGTTTTTTCCTTTTCAAATCTGAGCTCGTACTGATAGAACAACTTAATACCAACAAATCTAGATGATTCATAGAAAACTAATAATATCTTTGAGAAATCTTGAAGAGAAATATTCTATGAAAATAAGTTTATCTCGAACTCAAATAGATTGATCAATTTGTCTAATGAAAAGAAAGCTCTATTGGAAGGAAGAAAAAATATCCGTTTATTTCAGCTACTTTACGGCATGAGATATTGATTAGCAGCAGATTCAATAACACTCTATCTTCTCTACAACTAATACTAGCTGTAATTCTTGTTAGAAGGCCGATCTGTTACAGAGATCTTACGATCAATTGCTTGAGCTCTCCATATAAACTTACTAACCATAGGAGCAGATTTATGTTACAAAGTAGTCACCATGCTATCGAGTGTGTGATCTAAGACAAATAGCCATTAGTAACTTGTCCAGAGTCATTCCACGACTGATAGTATTATGGTTTGAACACAATACATTGTGGACACGTGTTGAACAACGTGGCAATTCAACGATGGTGGTATAGCTCTATCGGTGACATTCGTAGATTTAGTTTTCGACTGTATTTAATATATTTTTATTAATTTTAGAAGTGTGATTTAACGGAAGAAGAATTCGAAAGAAAGCTGATCGCGAGTGTAAACGTCATGAAACTAGTAATATGGTTGGAGAAAAGAAAAAATTTTGCTTTAATACCTGCAAGGAAGCGTAAACTTCGAATTGATTTTTGTTTTCTTTCAAATATATTTTTATTAAAATATTTAGTTTCTTATCATCAAAATAGCAACAAAAAATTTAAAAAATGCTACTGAACAACGTTTAGTTGTAAGTAAAAATAAAATCAAAGAACATATTAAAGCTTGACCTAATGATTTAAATTGATGTAATGAAACATATCTTGTTTCATTAGTTAAATAATTTCATAAACAATCAATTGATACTAAAGAATCACTACATGATCTTGAAATGTAAATTCATAAATAAGTTTATGAAGTAAATTAAATTAATTTGAAATATCAAAACAAAAGAGAAAACAGGATTCTTTTTTTGAATTAATGAATTAACTTAATGATATTAAAGGTAAATTTATTAAACCAACATTAAGAAAAGTATCAAAAATTACATAACAGTAAAAGAATTATTTAAAATAAAAAAAATTGCTTTTATTGAAATTAATTTAGAATTCAAACCTTACAAAAAACAAAAGAGGAAGAAATTAATTTTCGTACTCATCTTAAACAATCAACAAATAAATTTAGATAAAAATGCAGATAAAGTTAAATATCGGGAACAAATTCAACTTCAATCAACCAAAAACGAACATCATCATGAAGAAGAATAAAAATCTCCTTATGAACAAGTCCCACAAACTACTCTTTTGTTTTTTGTTTTGTTAGTTTTATCTTTAGTAAAACAAAATAAAAATCATTTATAATACTCTCAACCTTGTTTTCGTCTTATCTCAAACTTGATTATACAAGCCATACGATACAATTGTTGTTTACGATGAATATTTCTATGAAAAGTCGAATAAGATTATATCGAATATTTGTTGACTCATTCATCGACTTTGTTTTGATTATTACAGAATAGAAAATTTCCACAAAATACTTCGAAGAGTTTGTATAAAAAAAAATATGAAAAATGTAAGCAACAAAAAAAAGGGTGTGGGTGTGGATTTTTTTCTGTTTTTGATATTATTTTTTTTCTGTAGTTTAGATTCATATTTTGGTAGAAAAATTCTTCATATAATCTATCATCGTAGAAAAAGAAAGAGAATAGATAAAAATATTGGCCTATTCCTCTTTCTCTTTTCAACCATTTCCATATCCATATGTATCCACATATACGTACTGATGCGCATAAATGTTCGGGGCGGCAGGGAATAATAACGAGCTTTCTGGTTTGCCATCAATATTCCATATAGGCACACATACATATATATGCATCCATACAAAAATTGTAACAGGACTCCTATTTCTCTTTCTTTTTTTGCATAACTTCTCCATAGAATCGTATAAACAGATATTTTAGGAACAAGACAGCAGCATCGTCTTTTTTTTTCCCTATTTTTTTCCTCTATCTTTTCGCCGCTTCGTTGTTCTGTTTGTAGCCTATACATGGATTGATATAACCAAGAAAAGAAAAAAGAATAAGTGTTTAGTACTAACATCATCATCATCCAACGTCTGCCTTGCTTTTGCTTCTTTACGAGATCAACGAAGGACAGAAACTAAATCAACAACCCAACTTATAGTTAAACAGAAACAATGCCTGACGAGGTAATAACTTATAATAGAAATCAAATTGTTTCATTTATATAAAAAAACTATAACTTATTGAAATCGATTGAATATTATTATGCATGGAATCATTATTTGGTAATCAATTCGCATGTTATCTTCTTTTGCACGTATATAAAACTCTATGGACTATCAGCTCGATTTGCATGATACTAACTTGATCAAAAAAAAAAACAAAGTTTTCTTTTTTGTATAAGGCAAGACATTTGTTTTTGATATCATGTATGTATTTCTACATCGAAATTTTATAGCATCTCAATATTCATGAAAAGAAAAAAAAAAAGAAAAAAAACTAATTTATTGTTTGCTGCACAATGCTAAAATTGGTTTTAATAAATATCACAAGAACTTCTTGCATGTTGTACAAATATATTATCTTATATCAAACTATTTATATTGTCAAATATAATAAAAGATTTTCATGTTACACAGCACAGTATGTTAAAACTTGATGCATGTCATAAAGAAAAACAAAATAAAATATTTTCAAGATATAAAATAAATATCTTTTACTAGGATCGATCACTTACTGACGAAGAAAAGAAAGCCCGTAAAAAGGCTGATCGTGAACGTAAACGTCAAGAAGCTCGTGATGCAGCTGAAAAGAAGAAACGCTTCGGTTTAACACCTGAAAAGAAGCGTAAACTTCGTGTTTGTATTCAATTATTTTCAATAATTTAATAATTGAAATTTATTTGTTTTGTTTGTTTTTTCTTATGTCCAGCTTTTAATTATGAAAATGGCCACAGAAAATCTTAAAGGTGAACAACAACGTCGTTTAGAAGCACGTAAAAATTATATTGAACAACATTTAAAACCACTTGATAATCTTAGTTCAATGAGTGATGGTAATTATTTATAAGTTTAGTTTTTTCGAATGAAAAAAAAAAAAACTTTTCTTTTAGCTCAACTTAAATCACTTTGTCAAGAACTTCATAGTCAATTAAAATCACATGAAGAAAGTCGTTATGATCTTGAATTTAAAATTCGTAAACAGGATTATGATGTAAGAAATGAAAAATCTAGAAGAATAAAAATTACATTTTTGTTTTTCTTCTAGGTCAATGAATTAACAATTAAAATTAATGATATCAAAGGTAAATTCGTTAAACCATCGCTTAAGAAAGTCTCAAAAACTGAACAAAAGTAAGTTTTAGAAAAATTTTTGAAAATTAATTTTTTTTTTTAATTTTAATAAAATACAAAAAAAATCAGGTTGAACAAGATAAAAAAAACCAAAAGAGGATGAACCTAATTTTCTTAACATGGCCAACTTAAAACAATCGACAAATAAATTTGCTCTTAAAGAAGAACAAGAAGAAGAAAAAATAAATTATCGTGATCAAGTTCAACTTAAATCAGCTAAAGAACACAAGGAAGAAGAAGCATAATAATATATTCATTACAAATCTTCATATTTGGACATAATATATTTATGATTTTCTTTTTTTTTTTTAACCCTCTTTCTCTTTTTCTTATTTGTTCTATGCAATACATATTCTCTCTTTTTCTTTAGCTATATTAATTAATAAAAACAGCAAACAAAAATATCAATAGAAACTCTTTTATATAGATAAAAGTGTATAGTTCAAAGCTTTCTTTTCTTTGGCTATTGATTGTCGATATTTAAAATCTTTTTTCACCATTTGTCGACGATATTTGAGTGGAACTGAATAAAGCCATGTTAAAAGAACAGCATGAATAATAGCGAAAATGCTAATTGCAGTCATAAAAATCCATCGATCTATGTATGCAAGCCACATATCTTGTGTTACACGTAAATCAGGTACTAATAGATATATGAGACTGCCTAGTATTGCATGCCATATGCAAAGAATAATAAGGATAAATATACATAATATTGCATATATATCCATTGATGTTAAATATGAAATAGTCGGCTGAAAAATGAAAACAAATTTCAACAAAAAAGATTAAAAATTAAACAATCAATGAATGAATAGACATACAAGTGATCGATTTACTGTCCAACGAAATGTAATTGAAGTTAAAAGAAGTGTACATGATATTTGAATTCGATTTCCTGTTAAACTATAAATTAAAAATATTATATTTTAGTAAAATATTCATTAAAAAACAAACTAACTGTGGTGGAATTGCAAATATACAAAAAGATAGCAAAGTTATTAATAAAATAAGACAATAACCATTCCAATAGAAATAATTCGAACGACGAGCTATTCGAAAACAAAAAAATGTTTTTCTTTTACTTTATTTTTTGAGAATACAAACCAGCATGACAAGTAATTGTTAAAATAGAACGTTTTCGATCTTCATTATTATTTGTATTGTTTAATTGATTATTATTATCATTTCCTTCATCATCATCATCATCATCATCATCGTCAAAAATAAATTCTTTAGCAAATCTTTGTTGAGTATCAACATGTTCATATAAAGACCATTCTTGTTGATCAACAAATGCTTCTCGATTTACTCCACTTAAATGATTAGGATCAGCTATTAAAATAACTTTATCATCATAAAACATTGATGCTATTGAAATTGATAAATCTTGAACATCAGATGGAAAATGATGTAATTCTAATTTTTCCCAAAATAAACCTTTTATATCACGATGTTCACATATATATATTTGATTATCTTCTTTAGATTTTTTAGCAGTATATCTT